ATGGATGGTAGAGAGAGAGGTTAACACTGGGTACCAGACTAGCAAGTGTGAAGTTTGTTGTATGGATGGGAGAGAGAGAGGTTTATTGTATGGATGGTAGAGAGAGAGGTTAACACTGGGTACCAGACTAGCAAGTGTGAAGTTTGTTGTATCGATGGGAGAGAGAGAGAGGTTTGTTGTATGGATGGGAGAGAGAGGTTTGTTGTATGGATGGGAGAGAGAGGTTTGTTGTATGGATGGGAGAGAGAGGTTTGTTGTATGGATGGGAGAGAGAGGTTGGTTGTATGTATGGGAGAGAGAGGTTTGTTGTATGGATGGGAGAGAGAGGTTAACACTGTGTACCAGACTAGCAAGTGTGAAGTTTGTTGTACGGATGGGAGAGAGAGAGGTTTGTTGTATGGATGGGAGAGAGAGGTTAACACTGGGTACCAGACTAGCAAGTGTGAAGTTTGTTGTATGGATGGGAGAGAGAGAGGTTAACACTGGGTACCAGACTAGCAAGTGTGAAGTTTGTTGTATGGATGGGAGAGAGAGAGGTTTGTTGTATGGATGGTAGAGAGAGAGGTTAACACTGGGTACCAGACTAGCAAGTGTGAAGTTTGTTGTATGGATGGGAGAGAGAGAGGTTAACACTGGGTACCAGACTAGCAAGTGTGAAGTTTGTTGTATGGATGGGAGAGAGAGAGAGGTTTGTTGTATGGATGGTAGAGAGAGAGGTTAACACTGGGTACCAGACTAGCAAGTGTGAAGTTTGTTGTATGGATGGGAGAGAGGTTTGTTGTATGGATGGTAGAGAGAGAGGTTAACACTGGGTACCAGACTAGCAAGTGTGAAGTTTGTTGTATCGATGGGAGAGAGAGAGAGGTTTGTTGTATGGATGGGAGAGAGAGGTTTGTTGTATGGATGGGAGAGAGAGGTTTGTTGTATGGATGGGAGAGAGAGGTTTGTTGTATGGATGGGAGAGAGAGGTTGGTTGTATGTATGGGAGAGAGAGGTTTGTTGTATGGATGGGAGAGAGAGGTTAACACTGTGTACCAGACTAGCAAGTGTGAAGTTTGTTGTACGGATGGGAGAGAGAGAGGTTTGTTGTATGGATGGGAGAGAGAGGTTAACACTGGGTACCAGACTAGCAAGTGTGAAGTTTGTTGTATGGATGGGAGAGAGAGAGGTTAACACTGGGTACCAGACTAGCAAGTGTGAAGTTTGTTGTATGGATGGGAGAGAGAGAGGTTTGTTGTATGGATGGTAGAGAGAGAGGTTAACACTGGGTACCAGACTAGCAAGTGTGAAGTTTGTTGTATGGATGGGAGAGAGAGAGGTTAACACTGGGTACCAGACTAGCAAGTGTGAAGTTTGTTGTATGGATGGGAGAGAGAGAGGTTTGTTGTATGGATGGTAGAGAGAGAGGTTAACACTGGGTACCAGACTAGCAAGTGTGAAGTTTGTTGTATCGATGGGAGAGAGAGAGAGGTTTGTTGTATGGATGGGAGAGAGAGGTTTGTTGTATGGATGGGAGAGAGAGGTTTGTTGTATGGATGGGAGAGAGAGGTTAACACAGTGTACCAGACTAGCAAGTGTGAAGTTTGTTGTATGGATGGGAGAGAGAGAGGTTAACACAGTGTACCAGACTAGCAAGTGTGAAGTTTGTTGTATGGATGGGAGAGAGAGGTTTGTTGATTGGATGGGAGAGAGAGGTTAACACTGGGTACCAGACTAGCAAGGGTGAAGTTTGTTGTATGGATGGGAGAGAGAGAGGTTAACACAGTGTACCAGACTAGCAAGTGTGAAGTTTGTTGTATGGATGGGAGAGAAAGGTTTGTTGTATGGATGGTAGAGAGAGGTTTGTTGTATGGATGGGAGAGAGAGGTTTGTTGATTGGATGGGAGAGAGAGGTTAACACTGTACCAGACTAGCAAGTGTGAAGTTTGTTGTATGGATGTTGTATTATCTGACTCTGGGATGTTGTATTATCTGACTCTGGGATGTTGTATTATCTGACTCTGGGATGTTGTATTATCTGACTGTAGGATGTTGTATTATCTGACTCGGATGTTGTATTATCTGACTCTGGGATGTTGTATTATCTGACTCTGGGATGTTGTATTATCTGACTCTGGGATGTTGTATTATCTGACTCTGGGATGTTGTATTATCTGACTCTGGGATGTTGTATTATCTGACTCTGGGATGTTGTATTATCTGACTGGGATATTGTATTATCTGACTGTAGGATGTTGTATTATCTGACTCTGGGATGTTGTATAATCTGTTGTCCCAGTCGGGCATGATCACGGCAATGTCCAACCCAATTAGTGTAATAATTATCTCCCAATTACCGCTGTCCTCACTTAGCTTGTAATGAACCAATCGTTCACCAAGGAGTTGTCGTCCGTTAACAGGTCTGGTGTGTCATGATAGCCGTGATGTGATGCTACAGGTCTGGTGTGTCATAATAGCCGTGATGTGATGCTACAGGTCTGGTGTGTCATGATAGACGTGATGCTACAGGTCTGGTGTGTCATGATAGACGTGATGCTACAGGTCTGGTGTGTCATGATAGACGTGATGCTACAGGTCTGGTGTGTCATGATAGCCGTGATGTGATGCTACAGGTCTGGTGTGTCATGATAGCCGTGATGTGATGCTACAGGTCTGGTGTGTCATGATAGCCGTGATGTGATGCTACAGGTCTGGTGTGTCATGATAGACGTGATGCTACAGGTCTGGTGTGTCATGATAGACGTGATGCTACAGGTCTGGTGTGTCACGATAGCCGTGATGTGATGCTACAGGTCTGGTGTGTCATGATAGACGTGATGCTACAGGTCTGGTGTGTCATGATAGACGTGATGCTACAGGTCTGGTGTGTCATGATAGACGTGATGCTACAGGTCTGGTGTGTCATGATAGCCGTGATGCTACAGGTCTGGTGTGTCATGATAGACGTGATGCTACAGGTCTGGTGTGTCATGATAGACGTGATGCTACATGTCTGGTGGGTCATGATAGACGTGATGCTACAGGTCTGGTGTGTCACGATAGACGTGATGCTACAGGTCTGGTGTGTCATGATACGCATCAGTAATGTTGGCTCAACGAGCCGGGTATAGAAGCATGGAGGGCCCACAGCCTGGGGGTGGGGGGGGGGGTAGCGGGACAGGCTATCTATGGGGCCCACAGCCTGGAGGTAGCGGGACAGGCTATCTATGGGGCCCACAGCCTGGAGGTGAGGGCAGGCTTTCTATGGGGCCACAGCCTGGGGAGGGGGGGGGGTCGCAGGGGGGGGGGGTAGCGGGGCAGGCTAGGTATGGGGCCCATAGCCTACTATTATTAATTTTTGTTTAAAGCCATAACACAAACTGTAAAAAAAAAACTTGAATGCCTTCTGGGACTTGTTGCTCTCTTTGACAGCGAAATTGGGAGGCACGTAGCACTGGCATAACATCGACCCGACCTCGAACGTGTTCTGTGTCGGGGAGGGGGGGGGGGGCAGGGGAGTGGGTGGAATTAATTAGTAGACCTAAATGTCGTCCCAAATCTATTCATAAAACAAAACGTTAATTTAACTAGGCTCCCGGTCAAAAACCCCCTGGACATAAACCCCCCGACATAAGCCCCCTGTGCAAAAACCCCCCCCGCGACATAAACCCCCTGGACAAATACCCCCGCGACATAACCCACCCACCCCCCCCCCCCCCCTCGCCCTACGAGTAGCGAATATATAACTGTAAATTAACCACTTCTAGACACTAGTTTACAAATATTAATTGACTTGAATAGTCACAAAACAGAAAGGTAAGACTACGTTTTGCATTATTAAAATGTATTCACCAGTAAATAAATTAATTGAATATTATTTAGAGTCAATAACTATTACTAAATTAAGTCATTTAGGATAGAAATTTGTAGTCAATAATTATTACTAAATTAGGTCATTTAGGATAGAATTTTGTAGTCAATAACTATTACTAAATTAAGTCATTTAGGATAGAATGTTGGTTAGTGTGAGTCATCAATGAACGTGACGACATGTATCATAAATCAGAAGGTCTTCCGACGCGTGAGCTGGTCACACAGAGTTGAGCATGTGAAAAACATGGTTTCTGTCCTTCATTACACTATTCATCCGATCGTCACCCCACCGTCATCCCATCGTCATCCCATCGTCATGAAAATTTGAGAAGTTATTGAGTACAACCCCGCCTGACATTCGTTTCAACATCGGCGCCAAACAAAATAGTGTAGTTGAACATCCCGAGACCTCCAGTTACTATCTTAGTACGCTCATCATTTACTGGTCGAGTATGCTCCGTCATTATCATTTACTGTTCGACGCGGAGTTGTCAGTAGAAATAACGGTTGGCTATGCAGGTATTATTTTTCCATTGCCATCGTAGAACACCGTCGGGTAAACATCTAGAGTGATGTAGGTTAGGTTTGTACATGATGTAGGCTATGATTTATGGTAGCCTTAGTGTTATGGGTGATGTAGGCTATGATTTATGGCAGCCTTAGTGTTATGCGTGATGTAGGCTATGATTTATGGCAGCCTTAGTGTTATGGGTGATGTAGGCTATGATTTATGGCAGCCTTAGTGTTATGGGTGATGTAGGCTATGATTTATGGCAGCCTTAGTGTTATGGGCTGATGTAGGCTATGATTTATGGCAGCCTTAGTGTTATGGGTGATGTAGGCTATGATTTATGGCAGCCTTAGTGTTATGGATGATGTAGGCTATGATTTATGGCAGCCTTAGTGTTATGGGTGATGTAGGCTATGATTTATGGCAGCCTTAGTGTTATGGGTGATGTAGGCTATGATTTATGGCAGCCTTAGTGTTATGGGTGATGTAGGCTTTGATTTATGGCAGCCTTAGTGTTATGGGTGATGTAGGCTATGATTTATGGCAGCCTTAGTGTTATGGGTTGATGTAGGCTATGATTTATGGCAGCCTTAGTGTTATGGGTTGATGTAGGCTATGTTTCTGTTGTTTCTTTCAGGCTGTTACCAAGAAAAGTCTGCCCTACCCAGACGACATGAGAAAGTCATTGGAAAACGGTGTCTTATTGTGCGAGTAAGTATGTATTGATGTTTGATGACGTCTGAACTGTTGTGCAAGTAATTCTGCTGTTGTGTAAGTCTGTTGTCTCGCCTTATGATACAATACCGACTGATTAACAAGTACAATATATGATCTAATCATCAGCATCAGAGGCGTAGCTATCCATTCTGTCCCCGGGGGAAAACTTTTAGTTTGGCGACCTTCTTGCATATATATATATATATATATATATATATATATATATATATATATATATATATATATATATATATATATATATAGAGAGAGAGAGAGAGAGAGAGAGAGAGAGAGAGAGAGAGAGAGAGAGAGAGAGAGAGAGAGAGAGAGAGAGAGAGAGAGAGAGAGAGAGAAGTGCATACATGGTTTTTATATATTAGGATATTATATATATATATATATATATATATATATATATATATATATATATATATATATATATATGTATGTATGTCTTTGAAACTGTGTAAAACTACAAATAAATTATTATTACTATTTTATTTGTTTAAAATATTAAAATTTAAAAAAAATTAAATTTATTTCAACATTGACCCCACACCTCAACCGTTTTTTTTTCTTTATGATTAAATGTATCGGATTTTTAGCTATTTAGTTATTTCTTCGCGTTGTCACTAATATCGTTCAACGTGTAGTAAAGCACATAGCGTTTTGACCACTAACTATTCTATCAAATATTTTTCTCAAACAATTGAAACATTAAAATATAGAGGCCTATAGTTCACCTGTAACGGGTACCGACCTCACTGTTTCTTATAATTTATTTATCTTACACAATCAAGATAGGAGACGTTCAATCAGTATGGTATGTAAATTGCTTGCAGCCGTTAATTTTTTAAAAACTTTGACTGTGTATAATTAAATACTGCAGCTGAAAATGAGCTTTTAATATAATGTATCTTTTGGTGCCCCAATTGTCGGCGCCCGGGGCGGCCTCCCCCCTCCGCTAGCTACGCCTCTTGAACTGCGACACTAACCTTTAATCTCATCCTCAGATTATTGAATTGTCTCAGGCCTGGGACAATCAAGCGAATCAACAAGCTTTCCACCCCGTTGGCTGGCATGGTGAGTAGCCCGACCCACAGGCTGATCTGATTGAGTAACCCTACCCCCCGGCTGGCTTACCCACGGGCTGACTTGATTGAGTAGCCCCACCCCCCGGCTGGCTTGATTTGCCCCACCCACAGACTGGCACAGTGAATTCCTAAAGTTTAACACATGATCAACTTATCATAGGCACCATCCGTGTCCACAGCAGCCTTGGGTCTGACTTACACGGCCACAGGCACGAACTACCCAGAGTCACAGAGGTCACATGACATGAAACCCTGGTAAAAATCGCTCACCGAAAAACAATAAAAAAAACGACATCAACAGTTGCGGTCCCACGGGGCCGCAACCCAATAAATGATATTTTTATAACTTCTAATTTATCCCCCTAGAGGCAGGTAACAATATGTGTTACACATCAAATGTTGCATATCTTGTACACTGGAGATCTGGTAGCCACATTTATAGTAGACTAGAGATCTGGTAGCCACATATATGGTATACTTGAGATCTGGTAGCAACATGTAGACATTAGATCTGGTAGCCACATGTAGACGTGAGATCTGGTAGCCACATGTATGGTAGACTTGAGATCTGGTAGCCACATATATGATATACTTGAGATCTGGTAGCCACATGTAGACATTAGATCTGGTAGCCACATGTATGGTAGACTTGAGATCTGGTTGCCACATGTATAGTAGACTTAAGATCTGGTAGCCACACGTATGGTAGACTTGAGATCTGGTTGCCACATGTATAGTAGACTTAAGATCTGGTAGCCACACGTATGGTAGACTTGACATCTGGTAGCCACATGTAGACTTGACATCTGGTAGCCACATGTAGAATTGAGATCTGGTAGCCAAACGTATGGTAGACTTGAGATGTGGTAGCCACATGTATAGTAGACTTGAGATCTGGTAGCCACATGTAGACTTGAGATCTGGTAGCCACATGTATAGTAGACTTGAGATCTTGTAGCCACATCTAGACTTGAGATCTGGTAGCCACATGTAGACTTGAGATCTGGTAGCCACATGTATGGTAGACTTGAGATCTGGTAGCCACATGTAGACTTGAGATCTGGTAGCCACATGTAGACTTTAGATCTGGTAGCCACATGTATGGTAGACTTGAGATCTTGTAGCCACATCTAGACTTGAGATCTGGTAGCAACATCTAGACTTGAGATCTGGTAGCCACATGTATGGTAGACTTGAGATCTGGTAGCCACATGTAGACTTTAGATCTGGTAGCCACATGTATGGTAGACTTGAGATCTGGTAGCCACATCTAGACTTGAGATCTGGTAGCCACATGTAGACTTTAGATCTGGTAGCCACATGTATAGTAGACTTGAGATCTGGTAGCCACATGTAGACTTGAGATCTGGTAGCCACATGTAGACTTGAGATCTGGTAGCCACATGTATGGTAGACTTGAGATCTGGTAGCCACATCTAGACTTGAGATCTGGTAGCCACATGTAGACTTTAGATCTGGTAGCCACATGTATAGTAGACTTGAGATCTGGTAGCCACATGTAGACTTGAGATCTGGTAGCCACATGTATGGTAGACTTGAGATCTTGTAGCCACATCTAGACTTGAGATCTGGTAGCAACATCTAGACTTGAGATCTGGTAGCCACATGTAGACTTTAGATCTGGTAGCCACATGTATAGTAGACTTGAGATCTGGTAGCCACATGTAGACTTGAGATCTGGTAGCCACATGTATGGTAGACTTGAGATCTGGTAGCCACATCTAGACTTGAGATCTGGTAGCCACATGTAGACTTTAGATCTGGTAGCCACATGTATAGTAGACTTGAGATCTGGTAGCCACATGTATAGTAGACTTAAGATCTGGTAGCCACATGTATAGCAGACTTGAGATCTTGTAGCCACATCTAGACTTGAGATCTGGTAGCCACATCTAGACTTGAGATCTGGTAGCCACATCTAGACTTGAGATCTGGTAGCCACATCTAGACTTGAGATCTGGTAGCCACATCTAGACTTGAGATCTGGTAGCCACATGTATAGTAGACTTGAGATCTGGTAGCCACATGTATAGTAGACTTGAGATCTTGTAGCCACATCTAGACTTGAGATCTGGTAGCAACATCTAGACTTGAGATCTGGTAGCCACATGTATAGTAGACTTGAGATCTGGTAGCCACATGTATAGTAGACTTGAGATCTGGTAGCCACATGTAGACTTGAGATCTGGTAGCCACATGTATAGTAGACTTAAGATCTGGTAGCCACATGTATGGTAGACTTGAGATCTGGTAGCCACATGTAGACTTGAGATCTGGTAGCCACATGTATAGTAGACTTAAGATCTGGTAGCCACATGTATGGTAGACTTGAGATCTGGTAGCCACATCTAGACTTGAGATCTGGTAGCCACATGTATGGTAGACTTGAGATGTGGTAGCCACATGTATGGTAGACTTGAGATCTGGTAGCCACATGTAGACGTGAGATCTGGTAGCCACATGTATGGTAGACTTGAGATCGGGTAGCCACATGTATAGTAGACTTAAGATCTGGTAGCCACACGTATGGTAGACTTGAGAAGTGGTAGCCACATGTATAGTAGACTTGACATCTGGTAGCCACAAGTATGGTAGACTTGAGATCTGGAAGCCACATCTAGACTTGAGATCTTGTAGCCACATCTAGACTTGAGATCTGGTAGCCACATGTAGACTTGAGATCTGGTAGCCACATGTATAGTAGACTTGAGATCTGGTAGCCACATCTAGACTTGAGATCTGGTAGCCACATGTAGGCTTGAGATCTGGTAGCCACATGTATAGTAGACTTGTGATCTGGTAGCCACATGTAGACTTGAGATCTGGTAGCCACATCTAGACTTGAGATCTGGTAGCCACATGTATAGTAGACTTGAGATCTGGTAGCCACATGTAGACTTGAGATCTGGTAGCCACTTGTAGACTTTAGATCTGGTAGCCACATGTATGGTAGACTTGAGATCTGGTAGCCACATGTATAGTAGACTTGAGATCTGGTAGCCACATGTATGGTAGACTTGAGATCTGGTAGCCACATGTATGGTAGACTTGAGATCTGGTAGCCACATGTATAGTAGACTTGAGATCTGGTAGCCACATGTAGACTTTAGATCTGGTAGCCACATGTATAGTAGACTTAAGATCTGGTAGCCACATGTATGGTAGACTTGAGATCTGGTAGCCACATGTAGACTTGAGATCTGGTAGCCACATGTAGACTTGAGATCTGGTAGCCACATGTATGGTAGATTTGAGATCTGGTAGCCACATCTAGACTTGAGATCTGGTAGCCACATGTATGGTAGACTTGAGATCTGGTAGCCACACGTATGGTAGACTTGAGATCTGGTAGCCACATGTATAGTAGACTTGAGATCTGGTAGCCACATGTATGGTAGACTAGAGATCTGGTAGCCACATGTATGGTAGACTTGAGATCTGGTAGCCACATCTAGACTTGAGATCTGGTAGCCACATGTATAGTAGACTTGAGATCTGGTAGCCACATCTAGACTTGAGATCTGGTAGCCACATGTAGACTTGAGATCTGGTAGCCACTTGTATAGTAGACTTGAGATCTGGTAGCCACATGTAGACTTGAGATCTGGTAGCCACATGTATGGTAGACTTGAAATCTGGTAGCCACATGTAGACTTGAGATCTGGTAGCCACATGTAGACTTGTGATCTGGTAGCCACATGTATGGTAGACTTGAAATCTGGTAGCCACATGTAGACTTGAGATCTGGTAGCCACATGTAGACTTGAGATCTGGTAGCCACATGTATAGTAGACTTGAAATCTGGTAGCCACATGTAGACTTGAGATCTGGTAGCCACATGTAGACTTGTGATCGGGTAGCCACATGTATGGTAGACTTGAAATCTGGTAGCCACATGTAGACTTGAGATCTGGTAGCCACATGTAGACTTGAGATCTGGTAGCCACATGTAGACTTGTGATCTGGTAGCCACATGTATGGTAGACTTGAAATCTGGTAGCCACATGTAGACTTGAGATCTGGTAGCCACATGTAGACTTGAGATCTGGTAGCCACATGTAGACTTGTGATCTGGTAGCCACATGTATGGTAGACTTGAGATCTGGTAGCCACATGTAGACTTGAGATCTGGTAGCCACATGTATAGTAGACTTAAGATCTGGTAGCCACATGTATGGTAGACTTGAGATCTGGTAGCCACATGTATAGTAGACTTGAGATATGGTAGCCACATATTTTATTTGGTAGACTAAAGATCTGGTAGCCACATGTATGGTAGACTTGAGATATGGTAGCCCCATGTATGGTAGACTTGAGATATGGTAGCCACATATTTTATTTGGTAGACTAAAGATCTGGTAGCCATATATTTTGTTTTGTAGACTAGAGATCTGGTAGCCACATATTGGTAGACTTGAGGTTAGCCCCATGTACAGTAACCTTCAAGATGGGTAGCCTAATGAATTGTAGCTTTATTTCTTGCAGCAGACGTTTTAACTTTAATGCTATGTATCAGTGTTTCCAGTTGCCCTATATTTTTGTGTCCAGTTGCCCTATATTTTTGTATCCTGTTGCCCCATATTTTTGTATCCTGTTGTCCTATATGTTTGTGTCCAGTTGCCCTATATTTTTGTAACCTGTTGTCCTATATGTTTGTGTCCAGTTGCCTTACATTTTTGTATCCAGTTGTCCTATCTTTTTGTAGTCCTTTTTAGTGGTGTCCGGTCATAAACCCCCTTGACTAAAACCCCCAGACAAAAACCCCCAGACAAAAACCCCCAATGATGGTTTAAATAATGTAAAAACAAAGATGATGAGAACCAAAAGTGATAATTAAAAACAAAACAAACATTAGAATAAAATAATGTTTTATTTTAACTTTAAAAAGAGAGATTTGAGCTATGCCTCGCAAATACTCTCAAATGTGCTCATTACAAATTTTAACAACAGTTGAAATTCGAGCGCTGCTATCAATATATATTTTTTTTCTGTTTTGGTAAACAGTGACCCGAATTAATCAGTGTACAATAAACCTCTTGGAGCGATTGTTCCTTTTTAATAAAGTCAATAAATTTCCAAATATTTGGGTGGCAACATCCCATATGCGACTGAAAACTTCTGTGCCAGCCTTCAACTGAGTTGTTTGTTTTGGGCATATTGTCTTCTGCACGTGTGTGCATGTTCCACATATCTAGTGTAAACATAGGTTGTCTCCGGTCTCGACGTTATGGTCTGCCATTATAGTAGTCCTCGAAATAGTCTGCGATTGGCATTGCTTCTTGTGGGAAAATTTCCCATAATTTATCAAAGGCATAACTAATGTGTTCGGTGGGCACAAAGGCCAACCCATGTAGCATTCTGAGCTTGAGAGCAAATCCACTATCAACTTGGTAACGTTGTTGAAGGCCATAGTCCTCTATTTTTCTGTATACGTTTTCACTAAGATGAAGAAAGCATCCTTTTACCTCACTGTCTGGAAATACCCTTTCAACACTTTTTATCACAGCCATTTCAAAGTCAATCATAACAGAAATTGGTTGCAGGTTTGTGTTTAAGACCGTTAGCTGCTATAAGAGTGCTGTGTATGTTTCCTGTGTTTTGTTTTGAAGTAAGGCATAAACACATGGAACAGTTCGTTTATTGACCAATGCATGGACTGTGTACAGTTGTAAATTTCATTTTTCTTGGTTCTCATTATCGTCATTATTTCCTTTATAAGCCTTAGTCGGGGGGGGGGGGGGGGGTCATTATCCAGGGTGTTCATCTCGCGGGGGGGGGGGGGGGGTTGTCAAAGGGGTTCATGTCCAAGGGGTTTACGTCGGGTTATTTATGTCCATGTGGTTTATGTCCAGGTTTTTTTTTTTGACCGGAGCCCTTTTTAGTTGCAAACATCACTGAGCACTGTTCCATATTTTTAGGACAATCTGAACGTGTTTCTCCAAGCTTGTCGGAACCAGTTTGGTCTGGTCGATACCCAACTCTTTAGTCCATCTGACCTGGAGGATCTGTCACAGAGAGCTATAGCTGAGTAGGTGATCTATCTAACTCTAACCCTAACACAGGTGATCTATCTAACCCTAATACAGTAGGTGATCTAACCCTAACACAGTAGGTGATCTATCTAGCTCTAACCCTAACACAGTAGGTGATCTATCTAACTCTAACCCTAACACAGTAGGTGATCTATCTAACTCTAACCCTAACACAGTAGGTGATCTATCTAACTCTAACCCTAACACAGTAGGTGATCTGTCTAACTCTAACCCTAACATAAGGGGCGGAGGCTGCGGAACGCACCGGGTGACACCATTGGGAGGGGGTGCAAGGCAATAATAGCAATATATATTTAGAAACTAAACCGGGAGTTATCTCCCCTAAACTTTCTCGAATATTCTAATATAACACAACGGGGGATGACAACTCGGGAGATATAGACAATATTTTCAATCCATTTTTAAATACTAAAACTTTTTAAAATAGAATAGAATATTATAGAAAAAAAGAAATGCACACCAAGTGAACTCCAAACAAAATGTGCATAATAGTGCGCGATATTATTAGTACTTTATAAATTCACATGCGTTTTTCGAGAAATTGGAAATAGCGTAAATTAATATTTCCGGTCAACGGAAATTACTCAAATTTTTAAAAAAGAAGGCAGAACATTATATCTTTTACATATATGTGAAATTTCATTTATCAATCTGAAATAGTACTCAAGTTATATGCTTTTGAAAAATTGAAAGTAGAAAAAGTTCCACTTCCGTTTATCGGAAATCGCTCAAAAGTTGATACGGATCTACTATTTTGATATAATACTTATATATGAAATTTCATTAACCTAGCTGTAACGGTACTCAAGTTATCGTGTTTACAGACACACACACACAGACACACATATACACACACACAGACATACGGACAAGATTGTAAAACTATCAAACATGCCTACCGTCCCGCCATAATCGGAACTGTCCGCTTTTTCACCTAAAAAAGTAATTTGTTCCGTCATTCCGATTTTGACTCAGTTTATTCCGATTTTTTAAAATAAAATAATAAAGAAAGATAATAAAGTGAATTGAAAAAAAGGCAGGGAAAATCGATTATCTCCCTTTGGCATACGTTTCCGTTTCCTAGTTTACTTACTATATTTACAAGTATCATCTAATACTAGATCTTGCTAGACTAGATCTACATTTACTAATAGATAATGTGGACAATCTAGCTACTGAGCGTTCTTTTTAGTATTTGTAATTGAATTGTTGATTTAGTTTATGCCTTAAATAACATGTAGGGAGAAAAATGTAATAAAATCATGACTAACATTCTAATTTCTAGATCTAGAATTTCTAAATACTAGATTATTATTTATTATATTACATGATCAAGCCTTCAGCATTTGTTATTTATATAGCCTAGAACATAGCAAGGCATAATTAATCAAATCATAATGTTATGTCAAAGCTATGGTTTTTATTTGGGGGGGGGGGGCTCAAGTTAATGGTTACTATTTTTTAAAATGTAAGCTGACTTTAAGCATGAGTTGTCCTTAGTAGATCGTTATAAAGTATGCGATGCTAGTTTACTTTCGGCTGTATGTACGATGGTGTCGCCACATATACGCACACGTTATAACACACGTTATATCACTACAAACGTATTATATTATGTACATGTTTTAAACACATAATCTTATAACATTGATTTTTTTTAAACTACAGAAGTGGACAGCTGAAAGATGAGTATGACAAGAGACTGAGAAATGTAAGTCAGTTCTTTATTTTCCTCGTAATTTTGGTTAGTTCAATCACTACTTAGAAACACATATTTAACACATGAGCAGAAACTTCCATAGAACTTTTCAACGTAAGATTCCATAGAACTTTTCAACATACGATTCAATAAAACATTTTATTATACGATTTTACAATACAGTAGCTCTTAAAAAAGCCCTCCCCCCGTTTCATAGAATTATGCCCCTTCATTAAGCCTGTCGACATTATGTTCCCTTCATTAAGCCTGCCAACATTATGCCCCCTTCATTAAGCCTGCCGACATTATACTCCCTTCATTAAGCCTGCCAACATTATACCCCCTTCATTAAGCCTGCCAACATTATGCCCCCTTCATTAAGCCTGCCGACATTATGCCCCCTTCATTAAGCCTGCCGCCATATACCCCCTTCATTAAGCCTGTCGACATTATGCCCCCTTCATTAAGCCTGCCGACATTATGCCCCCTTCATTAAGCCTGCCGCCATATACCCCCTTCATTAAGCCTGTCGACATTATGCCCCCTTCATTAAGCCTGCCGACATTATGCCCCCTTCATTAAGCCTGCCGACATTATACCCCCTTCATTAAGCCTGCCAACATTATACCCCCTTCATTAAGCCTGCCGACATTATACCCCCTTCATTAAGCCTGCCAACATTATGCCCCCTTCATTAAGCCTGCCGACATTATACCCCCTTCATTAAGCCTGCCGGCATTATGCCCCCTTCATTAAGCCTGCCAACATTATGCCCCCTTCATTAAGCCTGCCGGCATTATACCCCCTTCATTGAGCCTGCCAACATTATACCCCCTTCATTAAGCCTGCCGGCATTATACCCCCTTCATTAAGCCTGTCCACAAATGGATTTGACCAAATTTAATGAAAATATATTTTTAAAAAAAAATACATTTTGCAATCAAAGCGACCGTAAAAATAATTCTAAATAAAATCTTTAGTCTGCAAAGAATTTAGAAATGTAATATTTTTAAAACCAATGTTATAGAAGTTGCAAAGAATTTAGAAATGTAATATTTTTAGAATCAATGTTATAGAGGTTGCAAATCTAGTGGAGGTACAAACTGCGTGTGGTCGGTGGATTGGACAAAATGGTTACGTCTATGCCAATAGTGGTCATACGATTTATTTGTCTGGAGCCATTATGTCGGGGGTATTACGTGTGATAACTGGATAACTGGAAAATTTCGGTCGAAATTTTATACCGTTCAAGACTAGAATAGGTCTTACCAATTTTTCACCTTTCTAATATATTAAGTTCGAATGGATTCTGAGGCTCTGTATACATGTGACAGAGAACGGTCCCTTGGCAAAAGAGGAATATAGTAAAAACTCGACTTGATCGCCATAGTCTAATACACCTGAAGTGTTTATTATCTAAATTAATTGTTAAAAAATTATTATATACGGTTTTGTAAAAGAAATTTAATTTTCCAAACGTATAATTTTAATTAACGTCATGAGAAATAAACAAAGTAAAAGAAAATTATCTCCCTTCACAAAAATTGAAAAAGTGTACAAATTACTTCCCTTTGTTCCTTTATTGACAATTACTTCCCTTGATAGATCACAACTTGTTTTTTACTCCCCTTTTAAGAAATATTACATTGAGGGAAAAATACATTTTATCAGTTTGTTTTGGTGTTGGAAAAAAATAGTTACATATTTAGCCTGGAGTGATAAAGTGCAATGAGGTAGGTAAAATATTAAAATACTGCCTTTTATTTCTTTATACACTGAACGTACTGTTTACTAATTATTATTTTAAATCAATAACAGTTTAAAAGCTGCTCTTAAATATCCTCTGTTGGTTTGCGAACAAACTGGGGTTATTATAATTGTTCACTAAATTGAATCGGGCAAGTCCGCCCTCTCCCAGGCAGGGTTACCTTTGGTCCTATGATCGATTTGGTGAATAGTTTTCAACAGTGCAATAAAATATGGTAAAGATAGGTTACCACAGCCCTTAACTAAATGAAATCCGGGCGTCCTCCGGCGCCCAAACGTTCGGTTTAGGGAGTTCAATAGACTATGGATAAGATGGGGTATTATAGTTGTTTATTAAGTTGTAACAGGCGATTTGGCCCCACGGGCTATACTGTGAGCACTATGTTTTTATGTATGCATTTAAATTTATATTTATGTTCTGCGCTATTGTTTCCGTTTATGTTTGAGTTTGTGTTTGCTTTTGTGTTTGCATTTTTGTGTGTTTGCATTTGTGTTTAGGTTTGAGTTTGAGTTTGGGTTTATGTTCTAATTTGCGTTTGTATTTGTGTTTAGGTTTTGGTTGGTTTGTAGTTAGTGTTAAGTTTAAAGTTAAAGAAGGTTTTAGGATTATGTAAATAAATAGTATGTAAATAAAGATTAGCTTTCTTTTACATTCGTTTGAATGTAGGTTTAATATAGTGTATCTAAATACCAACTTTGTTACAGGATCATATATTTACCAACAGTATAATATGATTATACATATATCTAAAGGTCGACTTGGTGCTAGATTGTAAAATTATCAAAGGCGTCTATTAATCAACACAAAGGGCAGAGAATTTCGTGCTATCCACCAGCGATTTTATACTATCCTTAAATACAGACTGTGATGTCCCCCTCACTCATTGATTGCTACTCTGCTTTCTTTCTTTATGTTTTTAGTGACTCCCCAATAATCTCTTCACATCTTCAGTGACTCCCCAATAATCTCTTCACATCTTTAGTGACTCCCCAATAATCTCTTCACATCTTCAGTGACTCCCCAATAATCTCTTCACATCTTCAGTGACTCCCCAATAATCTCTTCACATCTTCAGTGACTCCCCAATAATCTCTTCACATCTTCAGTGACTCCCCTATTATCTCTTATTATTTACATGTCCTGTAACACGTACATTTTACTGTATTGATGGCGATTCCAACCAAGACGTTCAGTTCAGAATCATCAACGATATATGTTTTAAGCTTTCCGAAACCAATGTGTAACTCAACTTCATTGTCATGATAATTAGCAATGTGAAGTTTCTTGTATGGATGGGAGAGAAAGGTTAACACTGTGTAGCAGACACGGGTCGGTCGATACAAATCTGTACATCTTACTAATTGTATAGTACAAACTTTAATCTGGTAAATTTCCGACCAAATAGTATCGCCTCCCAAACCACTCGCTCTGACCCGATACTATTTTACTAATCAGATAGCCACATTATAATCCATGATATTTATTTCGTTTAGTACTATGGGTCCAGGCAAAATGTAACGCCATCAATTAAAAGTCTCTGATCTTGCCCGTTAAAATTGAGAAACATAACTTTTAACCACAAAGAAATTGAAGCATTAATTTTTTAACACTAGCTGGAGAAATCGTGCATAATACTTTGATAGAACTGAATTCTTTTTCAGGGTTAACCAATGTATCTACCCACCAACCTAGCGAACATCTTTCCAATTTTCATTTGCAAAAAACCCACCTCCCACCTCCCCCTCCAAAGGGTTCAGATTTTACTGATTTTTCCCACGTTTTCTTTAACTTGCTTTCGCGTCTGTTTGTTTGTCTTTCCATCAAATCTTGCGATCGAAATTTCGGACACTTCCCAGTTAGCTAGCGCGCTGAAATTTTCAGGGAAGCTTTGTTTCCGATGACAATACAATATTCAATTATTATTACAAAAAATGAAAAACGTGGGACGCCGTGATTTTCTTACAGTTTCTAATACTGTTGACTCTCTACAAGCTCCCAAATAAAACTCAATAGTATTATCTAATCAATAGTAATATAACTTTTACATCTTATATTAACAATGACCGATAAAAAACTTTTACTTCGGCGCCCCACGTTTTTCATTTTTTGTCATAATGCGCACGCAGTTTGCGATCGCTTATCGTAGAGTGATCGCTTGCATTATTGTGATGTATAGCATTTATTTTCTACTTTTTAGTTCTATCAGAAAACGTGGGTTTTTTTAAAAATTTTTAATGATAATTATTTTCACTAATTTATTTTAAAGGCTTTTTGTTACACAATCGTACAGCATGCGTTGTTACAATTAGTTCCTTTACATTAATTTACAAAGAGTTAAACGATTGATCTACTTACCAATCCGGTGAACATCTTTCCCATTTAAATCCTTCCCATTTAAATCATTCCCATTTACATCCTTCCCATTTACATCCTTCCCATTTACATCCTTCCGATTTACATCCTTCCCATTTACATCTTTCCCATTTACATCCTTCATATATACATCCTTCTGACATTTTCTATCTCTAAACTTGACATCTGAGATACCCATTTATTTAAAAACTTTAGCACCCATACACCCACCCACCACACACCAACGCTATAATCCCACACACCCTGAACACACAACCTAAATTCAACATACACGATCCAATGAAAACACTTGCCTGGTCTAGACGTGTGCTACAGAGTGTACTGACGTCATACAACCAGGGGGAAGTAATGTAAACGTTGATTTTAGACATCTAGTTGAGTGCCACGTCAATCAGTTCAATCACGTCAATCACGTCAATCACTTGTGTCACGTCAATCACGTGTGTCACGTCGATTACATTTGTCAGCTGTGCGATCACTCAAGTACCTTAGTACCTTATAAGTAACATCACTTATAAGTGAGTAAAACATGACTTATGAGTGAGTAAAACATGACTTATGAGTGAGTAAAACGTGACTTAAGTGAGTAAAACTTGACTTGAGTGAGTAAAACATGACTTATGAGTGAGTTAAACATGACTTGAGTGAGTAAAACATGACTTATGAGTTAGTAAAACATGACTTATGAGTGAGTAAAACATGATTTATGAGTGAGTAAAACATGACTTGAGTGAGTAAAACATGACTTATGAGTGAGTAAAACATTACTTATGAGTGAGTAAAACATGACTTATGAGTGAGTAAAACGTGACTTAAGTGAGTTAAACTTGACTTGAGTGAGTAAAACATGACTTATGAGTGAGTAAAACAT